CGCCCCTTTTTCTAAGTTAATTTATTTATTTTGAGAGAGAGACAGAGAGAGAGAGAGAGCAAGAAAGAGAGTGAGCAGGGGAGGGGCAGAGAGAGAGGGAGAGAGAGAATCCCAAGCAGGCTCTGTGTTTTCAGCGCAGAGCCAGATGCAGGGCTCCATCCCACGAATCACGAGATCATGACCTGAGCCGAAACCGACTGAGCCACCCAGGCGCCCCAGATTCGGGATTCTTATGTTAACAGAGGCCCCCGTTTCCTCCTGACGAGTAACTCCAAGGCTTTTCCCCCACGTCTTTCCACTTGCAGCTTTTCTCCACCCTTACGCTTTTTAGATCTATCTTCTATGACTTGCATGTAGCTGGGGCTTTCCTTTAACCTGTCAATTTGTTTTCCTTTAATTACAGCAGCTTATCTATTTTCATTTGTTATAATGATCAACGTATTTGCAAACCCACCGTTTTACTCACGGAGAAAAATGGGGTTCCTCTATTCTTTCCTTCCATTTCTTTGACATTTTTTGGATTGATGTTTTAGTATTCCATTTTCCCATCTATTACGTTAGAATTTAAGCAACTGTAGGACTCTTTTTTAAGAAAGACTTTTTAAAATGTATTGTTATTATTATTATTATTTTTTGAGAGAGTGCAAGTGAGCAAGGGGCAGAGAGAGAGGGAGAGACAGTGTGGAGCTAGATGCGGGGCTTGAACTCACCAACCGTGAGATCATGACCTGAGCCGAGGTCAGATATGTAACTGACTGAGCCACCCAGGCGCCCCAAGAAAGACCTTTTTTTTAAAAATTCACATTGATAATAGAGGTAAAGGACAAATCATATTTTTAAGGCATTTAAAAAAATGTTGGCTAAGTTTGCAGACTAGAAGAGGTGAAAATATATGCACAGGAAATACCCAGGATGCCTTGCACAGAGCTGGTCATTAAGTTATCCGGCTACAGCCTAATGCTTTCATCTGCAATCACGTTAGAATCCCATGAAAATCCCAAGGGAAAGTAACTATCTGTCACTACGATAGGTATCTTTTTCTCAATTTGATACAAGGTAAGACTGACTCTACGTAGACTTTAGGTAACTCAAGTTAAGATATACTTTATGACCCGAAATACTGTCTACCTTGGTCAGTGCCCCATGTGCCCACCACTGTGACCTTGCAGTGGTTTTCCCGGATCTTCTAACAGGGGTCTTTGTCTTATCCGAGTATTGTATTAGTTTGATTTCCATCATCTTCCAGGACAGAGGGAGCATCCCAGACCCTCCAAGTCCGTGCACCCTGTCTGCAGGTTACCTGTCCTGCATCTTTCACCCCCGCAGTGTCACGCCCTCACTGCTCACAGCTATTTCCGCCTACTTAACCTCATGGCTTTTCATTCTGGGATTCCATCTCGAAGGGTCCTGTTTCTGCCTGTGTCAGAGTCTGTCATGGCGCTGCCTGAAAGGCAGTTTTCCTGGGTCACAGAATTGTCTCTGTTACCACCCGCCACCTTCCGGGCCCTACTGTCCCTGCGAGAAGCCAGCTTCTGTGTCACCACTCCACCTTCCATGGAGCTCGGTCTTCTGTCTGCTTTCGGATCTATGTGGCTCCGGTTTTCAGACATTTTACCATAAAATACCTGTTGGGACTGAAGGTGCGTGTCCCCCGAATTCATACGCCGAATCCCGACCCTCAGGTGTGATGGCGTCAGTAGGTGGGGCTCCCGGGGGGCTGTGATTAGGACCAGAGGAGGAGGTCATGAGGGCTGAGCCCCCATGATGGGATTAGTGCCCATTAGTGACTTTCTAAAGGTCATGAGCAAGGCTGTTTCCTCTATCCGCTCGCTGCCAGCTGAGGATACAAGATGTCTGGAGAAGCAGTCCAAGAGAGGGCCCTCCTGGGAACCTGAGCATGCAGCCACTCTGATCGCAGACCTCCAGCCTCCAGGACTGTGAGGAATACATCTCCGTTGTTTACGAGCTCCCCCGTCTACGCTCTTTCTTTACAGAGGCCTGAATGGACCAGGACTGTGCTAACCCAGAATTTTCTTTGTGTTACCCCGCTTAGAGGTCACGGGGCTTCGAGTCGACGTGTGGATGTCTGCTGTCAGTTTTTGGAATATCTTCTGCCACTGTGTTTTCAAATATTACTCCTGTTCCATTTTATCCCCCCTCGTATTCTGAGCGTGCACATGTCAGAACTCCGTGCTACCTCTCCCATGCCCGTTACTCTCTGTTTACTCTCTTCCTTCTGATATTTTCTGCTTCACTAAACCTCTCTTCAACTGTGTCTAATCTGCAGGAAGATGGGACTCTTTGAGCTCTTTCTTTCGTTTGTTACATTTTTCAGTCATAAACGGCTCAGTTCTTTTTTATTCTTCTAATCCTCTGTCAAAAGCTTGTCTTCAATGTGCTTGAACACAGTGAGTGCAGTTATTATCATATCTGTCTGATAACTCCGTTACCTGAAGCCACTCTGTCACCTGGAGCCATTAAGGGTCATTACTGTCTTCTGTATCTGACTTTTGTGTACCTTGTCCCGTCCCCACGGGTGCCCAGTGACTTTTAGCCGAGTGCTAGACATTGTGTGTAAGAGAAGACGGGGATAATCTGAGGCTTACTGAGATACTTTTCACCAGAGAAGATTTACATTTGCTTCTTGTGGGTGGGGAGGGACATCAGCCACACGGCACGACCTTAATCCATGTATAGAGGGTGACCTTATTCAAAGGTTGGCATTGGTCTCTGTAGGGACTTACCAACTAAGTGACTCAGTGTCTCGCACAGACCCTCCTCCCTGCCCCTGGGAACCCCCCTGAGGAGGGTCCAGTGGCTGTGACGGGCACAGGACCACAGGACTCTGGGGGATGGGGCCATGCTGATGACAGCAATGAGCCCTGTCCTTGTGGCAGGGGCTCTCCAGAGTCTGCAATCTGCATGAACTCACATTATCTCACGTAATACTCATGACAACCCTACTGTTATCCCATTTTCCAGAGTAGGAAACCTCCCAGAGGTCATGTGACTCGTCCCAAAGCATCAGCCAGTAATTGGAGCCTTGATTTAAACCTTTACCCAGGGCAGCCAGGCTCCTTTTGATGCTGAGCTCAGCCGTGCCTAGGAAGCCAGTTTGCACTCCTTTCTGGAACATAATTCTCCCATGCAGCAAAGGGGCTGTGGTTGCACGGCTCGGCGTCCCTATCTGTAAAGTGGGGACAGTGACAGCACCTGCTTCCAGGCGTTTTGAGGGTCAGAGGAGTGGCCACCTCTTAGGGCAGGGCCTGGGTAGGGTCCTAAAACATCAGGACAAGGTACCCTTTGTTTGAATGTGAGAGGAAGTGGGGCACCATCAGGTGACGTGGAATAAATACAGAAGGGCTGGGTTGGGTGAGCTGCAGGGACTCTGCCTGCCACGTTTCACACACTCAGGGGTGCTGTCCCTACAGCACTTTGCAGTTAGACTCCCCAGGATGGTCTGAGCCTGGGACACGGATTCCCCGTCCCCCCTCTGGGCGCTTGTTGGGGGGGCCTGACGTGGGGCCGGAGGGGCTCTACTCTAGTGGCGGGGACTAATTGCAATCACCTTCTGAGAGGAATCGGGATTAATTGCATCAGAAATCGCTTCATTAACACGCCGAACAAAAGGTGTCATTATGTTTTCAATTAGCGCCTTTCATCTGAGGCCTTCCACAGGCTTTGAGGAACTCTACCCTCTGCTCACAGGCTCAGGGTTTCTGCACTGTGATCAGGGACGTGAACCTTGACCCTGCCAGCCCCTCGCCTAGAGGGAAGGGCCGCCCCAGGGCCCGCCTTGCTCACTCCTTTCTCATCGGCACTTCGTCATCATCACTCGGGAAAGAATGGAAAACCACGTCCGTCTGTCTTGGGGTCTGTAGCATCCACATGGTGAGGCTCGCGAGTCTCTAGGGCACCAGTGTTAGAAAACGTTTCCATGCCTGGTTCAGTATACCCACAAGGGCACCTGACCTCCTTCCCAGGCGGATCAGCCCATCACCGAGGGGGGTGAGCTATCTGCCCCGTCACTACTTTCTCTCTCTCTCTAAGTTTATTTATTTTGAGAGAGACCGAGAGAGAGGGTGAGCAGGGGAGGGGCAGAGAGAGAGGGAGACACAGAATCCGAAACAGGCTCCAGGCTCCGAGCCGTCAGCACAGAGCCCGACGCGGGGCTCGAACCCACGGACCGCGAGATCACGACCTGAGGCGGAAATGAGTCAGACTCTTAACCGACAGACCACCCGGGTGCCCTGCCGCTTTCTCTTTCGAAACGTAAACCACCTCCAGTTTGTTTAAAAGACAGGATAAACAACACACAGGTCCCTGTTTTCCCAAAGTGGGTTCCTTGGCCCACCCATCTTGCAAGGTGTTCCAGGAAGAGGGTTCCCTGATCAGCCGGCCTGGGAAGCTCGCAGACGGCCTGCCCCTGGGGCCCTGGGTAAATCTACAGAAAGGCATCTGACCAACTTGGTTTAACCCTCTGCTTCCCAGGGCCTTTTCCTGAGGGACTGCCTGGGAACGCAGTTGAAGGTCTGTTCTTTTCTGCTAACCCGCTGCATACATGGATTGCATCAGGATAATTCGGGGGCTCTGTTAGCTGTGAGGGTCTCGGTCCACGTTCTCCCTCTGCTGGCTGATGCCCGGGTGTCACAGGCCTGTCCCGGGGGCCAAGCAAGCTGGAACTTCCCGCTCACCCAGCAGCCCCAGGCCTGAGGCCAATGCCGCGGGTAGGAGAATTTGGGGCGCCCGGCGAGGCACGGAAATGCGGGGCCTCGGTTTTTAAGGCTGTCAGGAGGGCGAGAGCCACGTATCAAACCAGGCCTGTGCGCCTGCCCGCGAGGCCAGCGTCCCTCGGGAAGGCGGCCGTCCGATGGTCCTCTCGGGCAGACACAGCCGGCCGCATGTCCCATGCTCAGGGGACTCTGCAAATGCTGTGCCACAGTGACCTCAAGGAGAGGAGGGAGGCCGCTCGCCAAGCCCCGCGTGGGGCCACATCTTACCTTGTGTGCCGGGTGCGCAGACGAGGGCTGGGCCACCAGCAGCCGCACCACGGCGTCCCATCGCTTGGCCGTCTGGCCGTCCCACGCGGTCACGGTGAAGGCCACCTGCTCGGAGGGGATCCGCAGCTCCCGGGTGGCAAAGACGGTCCCGTCCGCCCTCACTTTGAAGTCCACGCTGTTGGTCTCATACTGGGTCCCCTTGGTCCCCAGACAGCTGCTGAACGAGACTGCAAGCGGAAAGGAAGACAGGGTCAGGACCAGCCCGGGGCGCAGGGGGGCGTCACGGGCGCTCACGTGGCTGCACCTCAGCAGCGGGTCTCCTGATGCGCAACACGGGGGAAAACAGTGATTTAGCCGACTTCTTGACCTTCAGGGAACGTGCTTTCTCTCTACCCCCAGGGAAGGGGTGGCCGGCCTCAGAAACACCACCTCCCCGTCACCGCGTCTCAGTCCACCCCGAGTCCGGCCGTTAGAGGCGCCACGGGGATGCTCTGCCCGCAAACGCTCCCTCGTCCGACCCCGCTCACTGCCTGCAAACCTCGTGCCCCCAGCACCCTCCGGAGGCCCGACGCGTCCGTTTCCTCAGCCCGAGGGCTCTGGGTTCGGGCAAGGAGTGGGCCAAAGCGGTGTTCTGAGTGAGGCCGCGATCTGCTGTGGTCTCTGGTGCGTGTCTTTCCTCAGGGACCCCACCCGACCCCTGCGCGCTCTGTCAGGGAGGCTGGGCCGGGTCCGGGGCCGGCGGCGGCCTTCGGGTGACCCGGACGCCTGGAGGCTGAAGCAGCCGGCACGCTGACGCTGTGGCCTGTGCACGGCTTTGCTTCCCGACCACGAATCAGGCACCGAGATGCCCGCCCCTCCTAGTGACTCCGTCGCCGGTCATCGTAGCTCCGCGCGGGAAAAGGCACCTCGGGAGCCGTGCGTTCGCTGGGACCATATCGGCGCGGTTTTTTTTTTTTTTTACACGACTGCTTCTGCCACCGCCACCGACACCACGGTAGGTAAATTATGAGGCGCCAGCAGCCAGTGCCGCGTTCTGCTGATAGAAACGATGGATAAAGTTACGTAGTATTTATAAAAATGTGGGTCTCTCAGCAGTTACGGCCGGAGAAGTGCTTTTTAAAGCAATTTCACTGTCACCGCTTACATGATTTAATTACTATTTATTCCAGAAACTAAAAAACGCATCTCACGGTTACAGTGGATAACGCGTTTCTCCCGCGTTCACCTCGTATTGTCGCTTTGCCTTGAAAGCATAAATAACGCACTCGCTCCGTCATCTCACGTGCTTCACCTGAGACGTCCCCCCAGTCACCACACCTCCCACTGTGGGGTGCGAATAAAAATGTTTTCAAACGGGACGAAGCCAGGCGTTTGCACCCGGTCTGGCCCGAGGGCGGGAGGGTGTGCTTGGGCTCCGGGGGTGGGGGGGGGCACAGAAGGCGAGGGCGCCGGGGGCTTGGGTGGCTCGTGGCTCCCCAGAAGCATGTCCCCCAATGGGGGGATAACGGAATTTCATTCCAAATGACAAGAAAATTCCAGACTGCTCTTACGGTACCATTCGCAAGCAAATTAAAGTCAGTCGCAAACTCAGCTGGATCAATCATTCCTGACACCCAATTGTCACTGACAAGGGTACAAATGACAGCCCTAGGAATGTTGGGAGATTAGCACAAAATACGTAAATAAGCCCCTTTGTTCTCTGAAAGCACATTTGCAGCAACGCTAACGGAACTGGACAGCGACGGAGGGTCGGCATTTCTTCAAGACCGAAGGGCGATGCTGTGGCATCCAAACACCGTCAGAGAGTGTGGGTGAACTCAAGGGAGAGGTGGTGTGGCCCCAACGGGAAACGCAGAGTGCTGTCCCCAGGGGCCCTTCGGATGGCGCGTGTCCCCAGGGGACGGGGGATCCTCTGGGACACCACAGGTGGCGCCACGCAAGGCCCTGTGACGTGCAGCTTGCCAGCAAGCAAGCCCGTGGGGTAAACGGAGGGCTGCCCCACACGGGCGGCCACGCAACGCTCGTGGGTGTTAAAAGTGGATGTGTTTCCGGTCTGTCTGACAGGGCCCCGGCCAGTCCCCACAGAGCAGTGCTGTGGGTCCTGGGGAGGCCGTGCCTTTCCCTGGGCACCCTTCTGGGCACACGGAGAAGCCTGGCTATAGCCATTCGTCACCTGGCCTGCCCTCTGGGAGGGGTCGCCCCCTCGACCACGGTGCTTACGTGGGAAGGGGCACAGCCTGGAACCCCTGGACACCGGCACACAGGGCCGGGAGCCGCAGGGGGTTCGGTCTCCAGACGTCAGGGCTCTGGAGAGGCAGCTCCACATGGCCCGGAGCATCTCTCCTGTCGACCCTCGGGTCAGGGTGCTGCCTGGCGCCTCGTGCCCGTGAGCTCCTGCGCAGGCCAGGCCAGCATTGGGGTCTGAGAATGGCCTCCACCCTGGCTGGGTTTCCAGGCTGGCTCGGGACAGACACCCAAGCTGCAGGTTTCTGGCGGGGTCCTCCCACACCCGCCCACCCCGAAGGCGCCGGACCCCAGGGCCGGGCCAGCCCTCGCCCCCTGCCCCTTGCAGTGCACCACCCCGTTCTGCCTGGGAGAAGCCTTGTGCTTCTTGCCCGTGTCCACCTGGACGGCCACGCATGTGAGGGCAGGGCCGCTGTCCTGGCTTCCCACTGTGTCCCTGGGGCTGAGGACAGTGCGGGCACAGAGTCGCTATGACAGGAGGCGAGGCCTCCCCACAACGCTCCCCCCCCTGCCCCGGGCAGCGAGGGGAACAGCCAGGGTCAGTCCAGAAAAAATTTAAAGTCCCAGGAGATTCTGTCAGAAACGTTTCCCTCGATGTTGATACAACCAACAAACGCAGAGAAACTCCTGCTCGGAGTAGATTCGGGGTGCACATCCATCCTGCTTCAGGCCGGGGCTTTCTGGGAAGGGCCCCCTCAGCTGGACGCCGGGTGGTCTGCTGGACACGGCCGCTCCCGCTCCAGAGGAAGGCACAGCTGGCAGGCGGCATCGTCCCCATTCTGCAGATGGGGACACTGAGGCCCGGAGACGCTTCGCACCTTCTCGAAGCGGCAGGAGGGGGAGATGGGCTCTGCGGGCTCCCGGACGCCGCCCCAGGGAGGCCCGCCTAGTCCGGCTCTGTGTGTATCTCGAGCACCAACTGTGCTGCTGGGGTGGTACCTGCACCTGGTCGCTGGGGCTGCGGCCCCCCCAGGCCCCCGGGAGGCCTGAGATCTGCAGGTGGGAAGGGGGTCTACAGCACTAGCCCCTGTGGGACGGGCGGCCCAGCACTACCTGCGAGGGGAAAGTCGCCCCTGGGGAAAGGGCGCGTTCCCCCCTCCCCCGGAGTCCCCGGGACCCCTGGAGGAGGCCTGCTCTGGAGCTGCATCCTCCTGTCCTGGGCGGCGACGCAGGATCGTCCTCCTCCAGCCCCGACCTGCTGCGCGCGTCTCTCTAGGGCTTGCTAATTACTTCCATTAGTTTTAAACAAACCTGACAAGAGACAGGAGTCCTGAGAGACATGAAAACCGATAATCTAAGTACAGACAGCCACGGCCCCACGGCCGGCTCCCGTGGTGGCAGCCTGGCCTGCACAGCCAGCATGGCGGGGGAGGCCGGGGAGTGGGCCCTGGGGGCAGGACTCGGGGGGGCTGCCTGCCCCAGGATCTTCCCCGGCGAGCGCCTGGCTGACCCTGTGCCACCAGAGATCACCAGTGCCACGTGTGCTGCGGGGAGGCTGTGTGCCATGGCCACGTCCACGCCTGTCCGGGCCCCTCTGGGGTAGGGCCCGAACCCAGGTCTGCGCTTGACAAGCAGCGGCCTCTCTGAGCATCTGGCTCGGTCCCCGCTGTGGCCGGGATGCGCCTCACCAGGCACAGGACAGACCGGTAAACGCCCGCTTGTCTTACGCGGTGGTCCAGGGGAGCAAAGGCTCTCAGCCAAGGACACGCAGGGTCGCCCATCCCATAAACATCCGTGGCCTCCTGGTGCCTGGCACTGGGGCTACCTGGGCACAACAGAGCGGAGGCTCGTGCGCGGGTGGCCAGAAAATGACAGTTTGGCTGGTTGAGGCACACAGGCTGCTGTGCAGGCCAGTAAGGGGGCCCCAGACCAGGCTGGGGGTCCCCAGGGTGCCAATGGGAGCCCAGCAGGATGGGTGGGGTCAGCCAGCAGTTGGGATTCTGACCCCGCGGATCTGCGTCCACACCCGGGGCCCCGCTGCCCCTCCCCAGCCGGAGGTGTGGACGCAGCAGCTCTTGGCGTCTGGCTGTGGAGGCAGGCGGGGCCTGGACAGGACGCATCTGATCTTCAAGCCCATGTTCTGTCCCGAGAAGAGGCCCAGGGAAGAGCGTGAGCTGCTGCGTTCACCGCCCGCCATCGTCCCCCCTGCTCCTGACGTGAGTGTCAACACTTAGCCGGTGGCAGCTGCGTCTGACCCCTGGCTGGACACTGGGGGCGGGCTCAGCACCAGAAAACGCACCGATTTCAGGATTTCATTGCTGTGGCCGCCTCCCTGCTCCCCTCCCCTCGCCAGGAGGTTGGCAGCGCAGAGCGGAGTCCATTCGGCATTCTGGGCTCGTGGTCCCCCCGCTGGGACGCTGCCGGTCCACACAAAGGGCAGGGATGCACCTGCCCGGCCATCTGTCACGGACGCAGGTTCCCGTGTGCCGTGTAAGTGTCAGTATCTGCCGTCCTGGTGTTCTGGCTGACACCCCCTCGGAGGGCCTGTTTGAGTGGTTGGTGGAGATTCCGTGGCCCCCCTGCCTGCCCTACCCTCCCAGGACCCGCGTGGAGTCTATGGGAAGGCGCTGCCCCACGCTAAACGTGGCTCTGCGCACGCGGAGCTCACGAGAGTAACCCCACTCACTCATTCTAGTACCAGAAACAATTCACTTACAGATACAACAGGCACCAAAGCCAAACACAGTCGCTGCCAGGTAGAGGTTAGGGTGTGGGGTGGGTCAGAAACGAACCGAGTCATTACATCAGAAAGTTAACACTCCCAAGGGAAGCATGCCGGTGGCGAAGGAGAGCCTGACCCAGACTTGGTGGGGCAGGGAATGCTTCCCCTACGATTTGAGGGATGAGACAGCTCCTGTGAGGCTTGGGCAGGCCACACCGGCAATATGTGCAAAGATCCTGTGGCAGAGGCAGCGCGGGGTCTCGAGGACCCCAGAACTAGCATGACTGTAGCAGGGGCTGTTGCAGGGTGACTGGAATGAAA